GTACGTTTTACACCATGAAAACTACTGCTAGAGATTAACTAGTTGCTGATTTACTGATGAATGCTGATCATCAGTATCTTAGCTGGGTGTTATCTGGTTGACTCTCATGGTTGTTTTTGCGATGAAATCGAAAGAAATATGTGTATGTAGGAGGCTTCAGTAATGAATGTTTACTAGCACTTGAACAATAAGCAAACATCGTACCAAAAATACATACTATCTACAGTGACATTCAAAATACAGCAGTTTTCATAGATGTACAGATAAATCAGTGTTAGTATTGCTTCTTTCAATTATAGACATGAAACATTGTGAGCATGTCGTATGGCAAGTGTTGTGCACTTGTCGAAAGAATTGCAGCAGGATTTGACAAGTATGAGTTGAAGAACACAACTATGAGCATTCATTAGTAATGGGAATGTTTGTTGGAGATGTGATGGCGAGGAACGGATTGATGTTAAAGAAAAAACTTAGTATATACATGATAAATTAATATCCTGGAGCAGTTCGTGGTGGTGGACAATGAGAGCATGGTCCAGCCATACCACGTTTCCCTGGAGGACCCTTCGGACCTGGTAACCCAGGTCGGCCAGGTACACCAGGTTGACCATCATCACCTGGGGGTCCCGGAGGCCCTAAAATGAGATTTATCCTTTTACCATTGTGTTTATGTAAAATAAAGCTCTTCAATTAAAAATGAGGAGCTTTGCATACCGGGAATACCAGGCGAGCCAGGTGTTCCTTCCGCTCCCGGAGGTCCAGGCGGTCCCGGAGGCCCTAAAAAGTCGTACATAGTTGTCTATATGGTACTTTGTGAGAAAACTGATTGATTTACCAGGGATTCCAGGTTCTCCTGGTGGTCCTTCCTTTTCTATAGCTATTCCATCTGGGCCACCTTCTCCTTGAGGTCCTGGAGGGCCAGGTGGTCCCTAAAAACCTTTTTCAAGAAAAATTTCGATAGACGGAAACTTCGAAAGGCACTCTTGAAATTAAAATAATAAGTTCTATGTTCAATCTATATTGGCAGAGGGACTGACCGGTTCTCCAGGTGGACCTGGTGGTCCTGGAGGTCCTCGCGTTCCTCCATCGGCGTCAACTCCCGGATTTCCTGGACGTCCAGGCGCACCTTTTGGCCCAGGTTCACCTTCTGGGCCAGGTGGCCCTGGAGGGCATTCGAAACAAAAGTCGCGTGGCTGCGTTTCGCTTTCTGGAGCATCTTTACCATCTCGGCCATTCTCACCGGGTGCACCGTCAACACCATCTTTGCCATCATTTCCATTAGGACCGGGCTGTCCAGGGGCACCTATGCCACAGCCACAGCCTAGATGGGAAGATGAGCTCGTAAATTTGACAAAGTATGAAAGTCAAGCATGGGAAATTAGTTCGAGCACTGCTGATAACTAACACTGCACACTGTTATCCTGTGTTCGAGTTTGTCCCTTTAATTCCTGCGTATCCACATATTCGCGGAGCGGTGCTGAATTATAGCTTCCATAGCTTGCTGAATATCCCCCGTAAGACTGCCTGCGCACTCTTTGCTTAGAATCATGAGATCGTTGAACCTTTGTGACTTGCT